TCTTTGATTGATGTTTGAAACTTTCTTTAGTTCCTAAATGTTCAGGATGTGTCTGAAGACAAATGTGAAGAAGTTTGAGTGCTTTCAGAAATGTCGTCTTTCCAAACGACTGAACAACAGTTTTTCCTTTTGGCTCCAAATAGAAGTGACAGACTTGAGCAGGGTTCATTTAAAGGCTGACAGAAGTGGAGTGGTGGCGGGGAGATGTTTGACAGGACAGTTTTTCAGCCTCCACATGTTCATGTTGTGCTCCATCAGTCAGTGAAGATGAAGTCAGTACTGATGAGGCTGTAGAGTGTGTGAGGGATGTGAATGAGGCTGTTGGAGATCTGATGATAGCAGATAAAAACAGGCTGCAGAGACTTTGAGCTTGTGTGGAAACAGAGAGAGAAAAGAAATACATGAATGTCAAAGCTAATAAAGGTGAAGTTAGGAGCTGTGATGATGTTCATTTACAGTTCTAATGTACAGAAGTGAACGGGAAAATGGATCCATAGTTTCAAATGTAGAAATAGTTCTCAGTTCATTTACAGAGTTTAATCCAGTTCATGAGGAAATGAGAAATGTTCAAAACAGCAGCTGAGAAGAAATCTGCTTCACAAAGTTGGATCCAATTCCAATAGTTTGTGATGCACTTGAACGCAGCCTGAGCAGTTCACTGCCTAACCCCACAGAGACTGTCAGTCTGGACTTTTCTTTATTTCTATTGACTGTCAGTGAGATTTCAGAGCAATCAGAGACTGTGGGTCTGTGTATAAAGTATAATTCATGTGCATTTGTTGAAGTTGTAGAATGAGAAATGGCAGTTTTGGGGCATTACCTGTTATCATTGTCCTGGTTGTGCTGATGTTAATGTTTATTGTCTTGTTTATTCATTCCATTTCTTTGGACCAACAACACTGGTCTCTATGTGGAGCTGGCTGTGAGATGAGCGCTCAGGAACCATCTACAGTCTATGTCACCCATATCTGGATGACATAGGTCTCATGCCAGAAGTCAGCCAGCAGTGCCGGCTTGATACCAGATCCGGGCCAGATCTGCTTGCTATGTGGGGAAAATGATTCAATAACTTCCTGCTAATACATAACATTTCATTACATTTCCTCATAACCCTCATTTGTCTGACCATTTGAATCCTATTTGAATTTCCAATAAAGGATCCACAGAGTTTGGTGAAAATAATGATAGTAGATGTTTGTGTGAAAGTGCTGGAAGCAAATTTGTGTGTGATGTTCTTTCAGTGTTGCACTTTCTAGACAGCCCCTGAGCACTGATCTAACAACCAGCTGCACATAGAGACCAGTGTTGTCAGTTCAGGTCAGAAGATGACTTGTTGGAATGAAAATGAACTTGTAATTTGTCTGCTTTAATGATGTGACCGGAAAAAGGTGTTGGACTTCAAATATGTCCATTTCTTTCACACTTCACCTTTAAAAGTGAAGCCTTGTGGTTTCTGGAATGAAAAAAACATGACTTTTTCAACTCTTTTTCATGTTTTTAAGAGGAATGTATGACTTTAATGTGAAAATTCAGAATTTTTTCTCTTGCTGTGTTTGTTTGGAGGTGCTTCCTGTTGGCTTCAGCTGTTTGGAGTTTCCATTTTCTAAACTTGAACCTTCTTCAGCTGTGAACAGATGATGAAACACTGAATGATTTCAAGCACTTTGTCTAATAACCTTACATCTTTCGTTCTTTATACAGATTGAGGTGGTGTGGTTTGTCAGAGATCAGCTGTGATTATCTGGCGGCAGCACTGAGGTCCAACACCTCCCATCTGAGTGAGCTGGACCTGAGTCAGAACAAGCTGCAAGATTCAGGAGTGAAGCAGCTGTGTGGTTTTCTGGAGAGTCCAGTATGTGGACTTGAAACTCTGAGGTAATTCAACATCTTGTATAATGTACAATGTGTACTTAATCCTGTTCTGCATTTAATCACTCAGTGAAGCAGCGCCCACGGAGCAGTGTGCAGTGTGTACATGGTTCAGGGGTACCTAAGGTTAGCCGTTCATTCAATTTGAACCCCAGACCTTCTGATCATGGGGCAAACGCTCTATGTACAGAGCTATCTCTGTATGTTTTAGTTGTGTTGAGATGAATATAATGTGAAAGTTGTGCCACTAGTTGTGACACTAAACTGCAGACATAAGGCTGATATTATGCTGATCTTAAACAGCAGTGTCACTCTAAACCAGGGGTCGGCAACCCTGGCCACGCGTGCCACAGCTGGCACGCGAAGGATTAACTGATGGCACGACTATAACTGGACTGGCCATCGGGCATTTGCCCGGTATGCCCGATGTGATTTTTCGTTTTTATGGGTCGATGGGTTTTGTTTGTTTGTTGTTTTGTTTTTTTGTAACGGTATAAACAATGAAAGGTAGTGGATTGGCCAGATGCTGGCCGATGTGTAAAATGTAAAAATAACTCAGTTGTTTGGTGGTGTCTATGGCGGAGCTTCCACGCCAGCAGGTGGATGAAGGAAAGGGGAGGCAGGAGGAGAGACCCGAGGGGGCCAAGGAAAAAATAACACTTAAAGAATTATTGCAGTCGTCGAATATTTCAGACAGTATGCTACTGAGGGGAGCTAACATAAGAGTTATGAGTTATAAGATATAATCTAAGTCGTAACATTGCTGTAT